ACACACACACACACACACACACACGTTTATATTCATATCTTTGTGGGGACCATCCATTCATTTCTATGGGCAAAACCCTAATCCCAACAACACACCCTTAAGCCCTACCCAGCCCGAACCTTAACCATAAGTAACCAAACAAAATACAAAGACTTTTGGTATTTTTAGATTGGATTCACAGATTTACAAAATTGAGAGCCTGAAAAATGTACCCACAGGCAAAAAGTAACATTTGGTCCCCACAATGTGGGATGGACGGGCAGACGGACAGACAGACAGGATTTGCCATTCATCACCAGGCTCCATCGCCCTGGCATTCCTCAGGGAATGTAGAGCCAGCTAGAGATTATTACTGAGTCAGGGAAAAGACTGTAAAAATGGGTCCATTCTTCTCATTTTAAGCGAAATGCAACTATTTCCATTTAAGACCATCATGTCCACGGTCCGGCTCTGCTCTGGGGGGGGAGTCTGGACCGCCATCCCGTCCAGAGGGGACCCCCACCTTACTGCTGTGTCCTTGCTCAGGATAAATGGCCGGATGGATGGATGGATGGATGGATGGATGCCCAGGGTCATTACTGGGCAGTTGGGGAGGGAGTGTAAGTTACTCACCTGAAGCTGGAGCCTCACAGGGATTCCACAAAACAGACGCTCCAATTGCACAAATGCATCTTCACCCTACATAACAGAAACGTCAGCCCCCCCGGCCAACGCAGGCGCTCTACAATACACCAGGAAAAGGATGAGCAAAGGCCCCAGCACGAGTCTGCATGGAAACCACCAGAACACCACAAGACAAGACCAGGCAGGGACCAGGAGGCCGAGGTCAGCTCAGGACAGCCAAGCCGAGTCTGCCACCTTGGGTGAGAGACGCCTCATTCTACGGGCACCAACAGCGGGAAACTCGGCTGTGCCAACAAGCGCCAAGGACTGTATTGAGAATGCGACTCTGAGGGGCATCGGGGGCCCCAATCAAACAGAGGTGGGAAAAAAGGATCCGCAAGACTGACACAAAAGACATCTTGTGTCCGGTTTAACGCGTCACGTGGTTCCACGCTTCAGCCGCACGGGATTCGTCAGGTAGAAGGCAGGAGAACATGCCATCTGACGTGCCACTAATCCCGCTCCATATTGCTCGCTTATTGGCTTGATCAGGGTCTTTCAACCACTGAGAGCAGCCCCTCTGCTGAAAGGCGGCAGCGTCACGGCCGTTGGACCTTCCCGTCACCCCTGTGGGAAAAGCGAGCAAAGAGCCTGCCGCTTTCACAGAAGAAATGAGCGTCTGACGTCGAGGGCTCAGGCCAAGCCTGGGCTCCTACGATTTAAAAGGCTTTTAGGGACGACGCTTCTGTTTTGTGTCGGGGAGACCACAGGCTGGACCGGTTGTTGCTGTTTATCTGCTTCTCCTCTATGTGACAAACTCATAGGAATTCCTTTTTACCATCATGTGACTAGCCTGAACACTTGGAAACTCTCAGCTATGCTATTGGACTTCCCCTCTGACAGATCATTTATATTTATAACAAAGGGGATTGCCGCCGGACGCTCCATCAAGGACACATCCAAGTGTTAAAACTGTAAGAGCCATTTCAGAGGAGAAACAAAGAAAAAAAACACAACGCCCAAGATAAGGAGGCGAGCTGGACAGCCAGTGACACTGCGAGGAGGAGTCCTGCTTGAAAGGCAGGGTCCAGCAGAACCAGGAATGGGAATCCATCAATTACACACATCCGGCAGACACTCAGAGACTGACCAGAGCGAGTCCGAGTCACCCTGGGTTACCGGGTGAACTAAAGCACGCTTGGCCAGCCGGCTGGGCCGGACCGCAGATCAGACCGTCACCGTCACGGTCGGGCCGCTTGGGAGAACGGGGTAGGAATGCAAGATCACACGCCACACGGAGGACGGCAGCGGACTTTCAGGCAAATCTGAGAGGCTTTGCTGACAAACTGAGGGTGAGGAAAACCTCACAGGCCCTGCAAGCGATGGTGACTGGGAGTGTCCTTCATCTAGGGCAGTGTGGCAAGATCAGACCCAGCTAAAGACCACCACAGTGCTGGAGGCCTTTCAGATGAGCCCAGGAGCTGAGCTCTAAACAAACAACCCCCGACAGGACCAAAACCAAATAAACCCCCAAACACACCCCTGAGCGCAATGCAAACTACAGGTCTCCACAAATTCCAGACAGAAATACATTTGTGTCACACGGCCCACAGAGCTGTGGTACAGACAGTGGCAGTAACCCCATTTGGATAAAAAGTGGAAAAAAACGAGGACCCTGTGACACGTTGGGGGGGGGGGGAGGGGGAGTGACAGGAGCATCGGCACTCCTAGTGGCCAAAACCCCAAAGCTTTCTGGGAAATGGCAAGTAGAAACCAAACAATAGAGTCCCAGAGACCATTCCCAGGGGAAGGAAGAGATCGGATATGACAGCCACAGAGAGCATGTTTGAAAAAGGACAACAATAACGACGTGATGATAAATCATGACAGCTGTCTAACAATCTGAAGACAGGCTCATGTGCACACGTGGGGGGGGGGGGGGCTCAAAGGATATCAAGTGAACAGCGAGTCGCTGATTAGAGAGACCCAGTGTCTTTCTAATCTGCTTCATTCTTTTCTAGAGAAACTTCAATTACTTTTAAAAAGCTTAATTTAATATACCGAAACGAATGACACAGCATCACCACCAAACATTTTAGCACCATCCGCCGTTGCCATAGCAGCAGTGCTGGTCACCTCCGCAGAAACCCCGACTTCGATCGCAGCCTGAAGGCGAAAGGGCCGCAGCCCAGATACCGGCCTGGAAACAGCTGGACGGCACAATCTGTTTCAAGGGGAACACATGTGTATGATTTTATAGGGAGTCGAGGCCCAGCTCCCGTGTCAGGGAAGCGAGGAACCTGTAAATCTGACAGCAGCATTTTTCATGAGCCTTTGGGAGATGGTCGTCTTCGTCCTGCTCAAATTCAGCTCAAGGTTTAATTACAGAGGAGCCGCGACTCGACTCTTGGCACACGTCCTCAAACGAGGTCTACGCAGTTCTGCTTCACCCCGTCAGTGGGTTTGAGCGGCGTGGGCCCAGCAACCAGGGGGGGCCGTGTGACCTCAATGGGAAATGACACCCCCTCCGCCAACAGGCAGACCCCGATAAGAGAGCCAGACCGCACCAGCACCCACCGGATCGGAGGCGGCACTTCTGATAAGACGCAGAGAATCACAGCTTCTTTCCACCAAGGAGGTGCAGTGAGCCGTTCTGTCGCGACCCTTAGCCCCCCCTTCCCCCCCACGGCCCACACGCCTTCCTTAAAGTCATCAGGAGGATTTACAGCCCTGTCATCCACTGTGGGAGCCGTTAATCCAGGCAGGTAGAGGTCACATACCAAAATGGATGTCATTTATCGACAATGTTAAAGGATCAACAACCAATCCTGGTGTCGACGTCTAGCCGGAGCTGAATGTCCTGAAAGACCTTAAACTTTTCTGCAAAGTCATGCCTGACTCATTCAATTACCAGGGACACATCACCTTATAGGGGATTCAATAATAAAAAAAAAAAAGCAGAACAAAAATATCAATGAAAATTGTTTGTTGGAATTCATCTGCATAAAGGACGCGGGCAGAGGATATGAGCAGGTCTATCACGCTCCCACTGGGGATTGCAGGCTAAAAGCCTCTTTTTTAGAATGATCTACATTAGAAAGCAATGGAGCAGAACATGCAAGCGAAAAAAAAAACCGACTTAAACGTTGTCTCTTCAGAGAAACACCAGAGACTCCTGGTATGCAGATTAAAACACAATCGCTGTACACAAACACGGCTTAGCACCCTGCACATTCAGACATTTAGAAGATATAAAACATTAGACAAAAACTCATTGCACACAAATTTTGCTGCTGAATCATCCCTAAAGAACCAATAAAATTGCAGAACTCCGCCCCCCAGGCCTCAACAAACCAATCACAGATTGTTTCACTATCTGAAGCTCTGCGCCATTGCGTTTCACACAGCCTCAACTCCGCTCCATATTTCCGTAACGATTTTAATCGAGATGACGGCGGCGAGCCAGCTAATGTGCTGTGACATTTTCGTTTGCGAGAGGAAATTAACGAGATGAGATTAGAGCGCTCGCTGACGGGGAGTCTTTGAGGCGTGTCTGTTTAAACAGCCCAAGAATCCCTGGAACTTCATTGATGGGTATGGGAGACAAAGACTGAATCATTCTTCATAAAATTGTATTGGTTTGCATTAAATTATTTGTAGGTCATTTTTTATGATTCACCACATTCTGGGCATGGGTGTAATGGGTGCCCCCCCCTTTAAAAAGGAGCTTAGCCATTACCTCATAGGACCAGACACACTGGACACCAGCGAACCTCCGCACGCAGCGTCCCACCTCCACGTCCTCGTGGGTGGTGTACATCTCCTGCAGGCACTGGCGGATGTGGGGCGCCACGCGTCGCAGCACCTCCCGGCTCATGATCACCCCTGGGCCGCCCATGCAGAAGTTCTCTCCGGGCTCCAGGGCCAGCTTGCCCAGCTCGTCGCGGGCGCCCATGCCCGTTTGGCCCAGGTAGATGGCCTCGCTACTATTCAAGCTCCGCAGAAAGGCCTCCAGCCGGTCGCCCTTGACGTAGACGTCGTCGTCCGCCCGCATGAACCACTCGAACTGCTCCAGGTAGTGGTCGTGCATGTACTTGAGCATCATGAAGGACTTCTTCTGTGGCGGGTACGAGTCGTCCACGTTCTTCAGCGTCACGATGGGGATAGGGATGGAGGTGTCAGAGCCCTCGCTGGAGAAGAACTCGACCTTCCCCGGGATGGTCTGGGCCCATGTCCTGCATGGGCGAAGCACACGATGTATTAGCCAAATAAATAATAATAATAATAATTAAAAAAAAAAAAGTCAAGAGTACAGTTCAAGTAGACAAAAAGAACACCTGAGCCATTAAAAGTAAAAAAAAAAACTGCAGAAATTAATGCGACATCAGTATCTGATACACAGCAGAAACCCTTCTAAAGGAATTAAAGGTATACACACAGCATCCATATTTCATTATCAGCGAACCACAAGACCAACAATAAATTTCAGGTTACTAGAGACATCAAATTAGATTCAACAAACCCCAGCTTTGACCAGCCGGCCGCCAGTGTACTCGAGGTTTTTTTGTAGGAATACACAATAGCCCAGTAGCTCCGCAGATGGCAGCTCTCGCTTTCTCCTGCAGGAAACGCATTAAGGTCTCCCTGAAGGCTGTCTGCACAAAGCGATGTCGCTGTATGGGCACAGCGCTTTGTTCCCAGAGCAATACTTAATCTCACAGAACTCTCCTTAAGGCCTCCGCCAAGTCCTCTATAAGGAGTCTGGGCCGAGCTGAAGTCAGCTGTGAATGATATTAGTATTAAAACACGCCAGCCATTTCCACGTGCGCAATTACTTGCGATTCTAACGCCCAGACTGTGCAGGAAACCAGCTAAACAAACACACACTTTTGTCAGTTGTGCACCGATATGGAAATTCTGAAGGATTCTAATAACCGATATATTTTCCTCTAATATCGCCAATACTGATAACCCCAGAGTGGGGGGGGGAGATTGGGTGTGTGAAAATCGCCACTGCTGATTGGCATGACGACGTTACATTGTCTTTTATTCTTAGGAAAATGAAAGACAGACCGGCTGGCCAGATTTAAAGCCCGTCTGGCGGCCGGTACTTTCTGAGGCCGCTTCCGAATGGGTTCCGTTATCTGACGGGTCATGCAGCCTTTAAACCAACAAGGGACTCGATTTCTTGCGCATTTTCAAAACCACACAATCGATCCCACATGCATTTTAATACTTGTACTACAGAGAATGGCTGATCATCCAATGCAAAATTCGCCTTTATTTTTATAGTTATGCAACTACTTTACTTTTAGCTGTGGGGTTGTTCACTTTGAATACTGACATAAGTTTTAGTATCGGCCGGCAATATCGGTCAAGACTGACACATCAGACCAATACCTATATCACGATTGTTAACAAATATCGACCGATTACTGTATGTTAACGGATACATCCTGCATCTCTAGTCCTATTTAACGAAGATGGTGAAAGTCTTCTGTAGGAAGACGGTAACTAACCACACAACGCATGGCGTAACACAACACCTTTGTGATATACAAGTCACCATGTATATGGGCTACTTGCTGATTCTGTTACTACAGGACATTTAACAATAGACTGACCTTCATTAGTCCCGGTAAACCTGGAAAAGCTCCAACACCAAGTAGCCAATAGATAGTTCTGCATGTATCCTGCTGACTTTGAATTATTAAATTTGTATGTCAATCACGTCTCTCATAGGGACCAATTAAAAAAAACTGTGCGTCTCAGAGAGCAAGAACAATGATAACCATCCGAGTAAGTAAACCCCATTTATTCTTATCAAGTTATTCAACAGTTCAATCACTCTTCACTGTCAATGTGCCTATTTGAACCCATAGTCTGCTGACATGCTGTAAGAAGGGGTTTCTCTGCCGGCTCCAGACACTGGACAACCAGATGAAGAATAAGGACCAAAGGAGAGAGCAGCAGAGCTGGACCAGTCAGGCGGGCAACGATCCAAGTCAAACCGAACCAATGAACATAAATGACAGCTAAACCGGACCGGCTGAGAGAGAGACCGGGGAACAGCAAAACGAGACCTATTAACAGAACCGGACCGGGGGACCTGTCAACCAACAAGTTCGCCTCACACAATAAAACCGAGAACAAGGTAAAAGATCCACGTTTTTCTTTATTTTTAAGTTGTAGACCTAATTTTTTAAAGGGCTGTATCAGACATCCCTCGCTCATAGGATCGACACTAAAATAAGGCAGAGAAGGGCAGGACACTCCTTTATCGGGACCGGGAGCGTACCTGTGAGCCGCTACAGCCCGGCTTTTCAGGTACTTCTGGGCGGTCATGACTCCGATGAAGAGGAAGCCGGAGGCGGCGAGCGGCTTGGCGGCGTCCTGCTCATCCCCGCGGAGCCCGTCGACCCAGCGTACCCTGGCCACGCCGCGCATCCCGCAGCCGCCGGCGCCCGCCTTGCGGTTGTGAGCCGCCTTCTTCAGCTCCGTGGCCCTGGGTAAAATGAGCCTGGAAGCCAGGATGAAGCCGAGGATCAGACCTAGCAGCACACTGAACCACGCTCTTCGGCTTCGACCTGCCATCGCCCACAACTTAACCAACTGACGTCCTTGAATGATACGACGCGGCAGCCTCCCGATAAGTCGGCTCGTCCGTAGCCTGCCACCGCTCCTGATGGGGTCCGCTGCCTACGTAGCAACACGCCCGTCTCCATACAACCACCACCTAGAGCGTCCGCCTCATGTCACTCCTCCGATCATTAAGCGGAGAGCTAAATTCAGTGACAGAGCCCAGAAAAATGCGATCGGGATCGTAACGGTCTTAATCTCATGAGCAACCCCTCCATTCCTACCGCCTACATTGCCATAGTAAGAACATCACGGCTGCCTTACAGCAACGCGGCTTTAACCGTAAAGTTTGACCCAATGAGGTCACCGTTACATGCCTCTGATTGGCTACTTACCGTGATGACGTCTCTGCCCAATCCCTCCCCCGCGAAGACAATTCTTTAAGTCCGTAGCACATTTTATATGATTTAACGTTTAAGACAGTACGTACTTACAATGGAGCATATGAAGAATGCAGTTCTTACATGAAAACAAACGACAGCCAAAGGATGTGGAGCCCCTTACCATTACTTGAGACCGGCTTTATGCTATGGCATTCTATTCCAAATAAATTATAGTCTACATCTCCAGATAAATTTTAAAGTGTCATGAACAGCATTCTCGATTTCAAAACTGGTCGATAAACTATTTATACATAAAAACATGAATTCTGTTTAAAGACGTCGGCAAATATGCCAGAATTACCCAAATTAAATTGTAAATAAATGCCAATTCGTACAAAGCCGGTGACGACAAAATTTTTTTTACAACACACCACTGCCGCCTAGCGACCTTAACTGTCCAGTATATGGTACCAATAAACCATTACATTCATGAACTGTTTTTAATTGAGTCAAGAAATGCTATCGGTCAAATCCCAGTTATTTAAAAAAAAAAAAAACAGACATGGTACCAAATGCTTTGTGAAACAACTTTTTATTACAACAAAAATTGTTTTCATACAGTTCAGGGGTAGGGAGCAGTTTATCATGGAACTATACACACCCATACGCAAGTGCAGCAGACAAGCATGAAAGGAAATAATCCTTCAGCATCTGCAGAATCGACTTCTTTCAACTACTTGCATTGTTTCAATAATTCTGAGGCAACATTCACACCTTGCACTGTAGTAAGCTTCTCTCACCATACAGGTATTGTTTGCTCTAATACGGTATGCTCGATTCCTTCAACAGACATTTCAAAAAGTATGGGAGGAGGATCTAACACACAATTCCTCTGAAAAAAATCAGCCACCCTCACTGGCCAAGCAGCCATTTATAAGGAAGGCTTCATTGGAAGCTGTCAGTCTCGAAAGGTCACCCAGCGTATTCCTCATTCAGATGCTCAGAAGCCAAAAATATCTAAGTTTACAATCAGGAGCACTGTTCACCTGCTCCAATTATATGCATCACAGTCTTATCTGTGCCAAGACAAAGGGATTAGAAATGCCAACTGCTTAATATGCAATTTCTAAGACAAACAAGTGACATACACAAACCTGCTTGAGAAGTAACAGAAGTACATTTAAAGCAAAGAAGAATTTTCAAAAGGTTCTAATTCATTCAAAGACAGTTCAGAAATTACAGCTAATGACAGGTGTGGCATCCAGTTATCTGGTTAAGCAAGACTGGTTTGGAAAATCAGCATAGGGCCCATTCTGATGGCTGGCAGCTTAATTTCAGTTGACCTTTGTGTGCTCTGGAGCTGGGTCAGAGGTCACTCTTGCAGTGGCGCTCTGACCTCCTTTAACCTCATCCACCAGACGTGGGCCCTCTTCTTCCTGATCGCCAAGAACAGCTTCCTCCACCATCACCAGTCATGGGATTGTATCCTGCAACATAGCATTGATGTTAATATAGTCAGTACTCTAAAGAATTGTTGGGTGTTTCCCAATCTGGTCCTCGGGGGAACCACAGACAATCCACATATTTGCTCCCTCCCAGCTACCGAAGCAAAATTGTGGACTGTCTGGCAAGGAGCAAAAATGTGGAACGGCTGTGGGAAACACTGCCTTAGAGCAGTGTTTCCCAATCCGGTCCTCGGGGAACCCCAGACAGTCCATGACTTTGCTTCCTCTCAGCTCTCAGCACACCTGTGCCAGGTATTCGGTGTTCCTGATTGGCTGGGAGCTGGGAGGGAGCAAAAATGTGGACATTCCAGGGTTCTCCGAGGACTAGGTTGGGAAACACTGCCTTAGAGGGTTAAGACTAGAGACTGCAGGGATGGGGACTTACCACTTCGTAACGGTTTCAAATTCCTCTTTGATTTGACTTCCATCGATGAGCTGGTTCCTTCATTATTCTGCAACATTTCATTAGGCATTTTTACCCATTATCCAGAGATTTGGTACATTTTACATTCATGTGTAAACAACTGGCCACTGGCACAATGTCTTACACATCTTGTAGGTTTTAAACATGGTAGTATCTCTGTCCAACACCTTCAACACTATTCCAGAAGCACTTTATAAATCAAAGCAGAAACAAGCTCTTACGTCTGCAGCCTCCGCACTGCTCTTGTAACTCCTCCCTTCCTTCATGCTGTCCCACATTTCAATTTTCTGTTTTCTTTTGTCTTCTTCAGCCTAAAAGAAATACCATTTTACACCTAGAAACATTAATCTGACCAATCTGGGTAATGACTAGCATATTCATGCAGCATACATTTACTGTTTGCAGAGGAAGGAAGCAGGTTCGTAAAGTTTGGAGTGTCAAATAAAAGATTTGAGCTAAGAAAAGGACTCGTCCAGCACGTTTGTAAAATATGTCAAACATGCACACAGTTGTATATAAAATTGAATCCCTTATGAAAAAGCAGGTGATCATACACACTTTCTGCTTCCTCTCTTTGTACTGCTCAGCTTTGGCATCCAACTCGTCCTGCATCTTTTGACGCGATGCTTCCAAGGCCTCCTGGCGTCTCACCACAGAAGTAGCATCTGGGAGGACAAAGTACCATGTTTACCATGTTACAGATGAAAGAGAGAAAGTGACTTTTATAAGTACAAAACGGACCTTTCACATTTTCCGGGGAGGATCTGCTTGGTGACTGGTTGGGTCTCCGCTTCCTAAACTCCTGGATGAGCAGGAAGACGCCCACACAGATGAACAGGAGGTACCAGCCATACTCGGCGAGAAAGGCTCCCACTGTGGACACACATACGATGCAATACACTTACATTACGATACATAATTTCAGAAAGACTGCACAAACGGTGGGTTGTTCAGGGAGTTACAAATCCATGCCCACGTTTCAAATGCCGGAGTTACGTGGTAATCCTGTTAATTGGTGACAAGCGCGTTCACGTGCTAATGTTTACGTATCCTTGCAGATGTGTGATGGCAGATTAATCAATTTAGGAAAAGTGAAATAAAAGTGTAAATATTCATAATTGCCCATGCATATAAACACTGTTAAACATAAGAACATATACTTCAGGTTAGTTGAAGACCAATCTTTTTTTCATAAGGGATTCAATGTTATATTCATCGCCTGCTAGATAACCTTTACAACTGCATGCATGTTTGATATATTTTAGAAACGTGCAGGAAAAGTCCTTTTCTTACCGCACCTGACGAACAATAAACCTGATTCTGAACCTGCTTTCGTCCTGCAAAAATAAGTGATTGTATGCTGCGTGAACGCGCTAGTCACCAGTAAACAGGAGCACCCTTTGAACAACAACACCGGGTTATAGACAGAGTAATTATACCTCTTTTGGGCCCTTAATTACAATTGTTGTAGGGACTCTGCTATCTGATCTTTACATGTACGTCGATTTGGACTCGAGCTTCTGCTTATTAAGTAAATACAAATGATATGCAATAACTTAAAGCGACAGTGTCGCGCGGTGGATTTATGCAGCGCCAGGGCCAGACATTAAGGTTTTACTCATGAAAAGGTTGTAAGCCATGATATCAGGCGGTTAAAAATACTGGTCATTTAGTAAAGCACGTAGTAACTTGCAAGAGCTTAACAGGTGTTATGCCGAAAAAGGCATCCCTGCCGTAGAATGCATGCCTGTCTCTAAATGACCGATTGGTCGCTGATCTGAAACGAGTTGAGGTACTTTGTCGAGTAAGGCTATCGTAGTGCTAATCAATAGCCCCAAAAAATCCGTAGAACTGTAACCCTAACCCCCAAAAAACCCCAAAAAACTCTAAAACCCTAACCCCCAAATCCCCCCTAAAACCTAACCCAAACCCCCAAAACACCCCTAAAACCCTAACCCCTAAAAAAAACCCTGACCCCCAAAAAACCATTAAAAGCTCAACTCGTCGGAACACCGGCATGCACTCTAAGGCAGGAATGCCTTTTTCGGCATAACACCGGCGTGTCGCTAGCATTAAAAGTAACTTTTCCACAGTTAGTTTCGGTTTCTCGGCCTGATAACTAGGCCTTGCTCGCATCGGCTAACAGTGTAGCATTTAGCACGCATTCACACGGCACAAACAGAGAAACACATAAATCCCAAAGGTAGACGTAGTGCTTTAAGGCGACTAAATAGCAAGGCGAGTCCGCAAGTAAGCCCTTCGGGGCCAGCGTGTGGCTGGCCGGGCCTGTATCGGATAGACTACCCGCTGGCAGTAAGAAGCTCAGATCCTGGTTTTCCAAAGTCGTCTCTGTTCGGATATTTGTCAGCGTCTCATCAGTCTCCATTTCGGAAAAAAAAAAATTATAATAATAATAAAAATTAAACCCCGACAGGGAGGCGTGGGTGCAGTAATTGTTATGTAGCCGTCGAGCTGTTTTCCCCCAGCTGTCAAACGGACCCCACTCTTCAGCCAATCATAGAGGGCGGTGACGTGGCGCGATCAAAAGGCACGAAGACGTCGCCCCGCAAGCTGACGTCAAGGCGCTTTTACGTGTATACGTACGTGCACCTTCAAATTGTGATCTAAAACAGTGGTTCCCAACCCTTTTCATGTTAGAGCCCCCCAAGAGACATGCTGCAGGCTGAGGACCTACTACCCACCCCCATCCAAAAATTGCCATATGCATATCTTATCGACTACTATATAGTCCTATTACCTGTTAAGTGCATGTAATAAAACTATATAAAATAAGCCGCTTTCCTTTTAAAAAATACTCGTTGATTTGATGTCACTGGGGGAATTTATTGAAATACCAGTGATGGAAGTTTAAAAGTGCAATTTCCCTCCATGCCCCAGTCAGATTTTTGGAGGAACCTGAAAAACGAATGCCCCATTTCTAGCCCTTTGCAACAACATAACTCTGTGAGGCAGGTTTTTCTACATCGAAAGTGCCGAAAACAGAGTTTGTCTGATGTGGAGAATGATTTCAGATCATCTGTAAGCCAGCTA